GGCATTTGAAATTTTCGGGAGGGGGGGGGGGGCGGTAGAATTTCTTTGGGGGGGGCGGAAACTGTTAAAAGTATATATTTTCTATATAAATTATATAAATTTCATTTCGTTCGGGGGGGGGGACGGTTGAATTTTTTCGGTGGGGCTTAGCACCCCCATCCCCCCCCCCCAAGAGATGCCTGGAAGAAACTCTGATAGGGAGTGGGGGAAATCGTGCGTTGAAAATGTGTCATTTTTTTGGCACAAAGGTCTATATTTTGTGCTTCAGATGGGTCGAATACGGATGTAGCCGTATTCTTCGTGGCTATTCTTTTAATATTTTGTCCCATAAACAATTCTTTTAATTACGTACACATAGAAAACAACATCAGTTTATGTATCAAATATAAACTAATATATTTGCATCTTTATATTCAATATATAAATAATTTGTGTGGCATAAAAAGTAGTATCTTATCAAGAAGAGTAATTAAAAAAAATAAAGCCTAATAAATGATTGGGCGATAGCACTTTGTAAACAGTGCGAAGGTTGAGAAGTTCAAGACGCTATCTATGTTTCTCTTTCCTAATAGCTGAGGTACCAAAGGGTATTAAAATAAAATCTGGATAGTAATTCTATGGCCACAAGGAGCTGAACTCCTGATTGATTTAATACTTTTCTCTACTTGTTTGGTTACTGCCCTAAACTTAAAAGCTGGTTTAGCAACTTTGTGCTTTTCCGGTTCGACAAAGCAGACCTCTACAGTAATAAGATAATAGGATAAAACGTGCAGAATGCATATATTTCCTTACTAAATGTCATTTCGTCGTCAAACAGTAAGAAGAAACTCTTATAAAATATAATCATGTCTGTTTACATGATTTTGCAAAAGTAAACACATATTTCAATTGACGACAGATCAAGTTAGATGCAAAACTTTTTCTATAATAAAATACTAAAATGTGCAATATCATAAATCAGGAAAAATACAAGTTTAAGACACAAAACAGGCTACAAATATTTGTATAAATATTTGTTCTTGAGAAAATAGTGTGCGTGTGTGAAAGGGGGTTACTATATATATATATATATATATATATATATATATATATATATATATATATATATATATATATATATATATATCACAAGATAATGATATTTATATAGAAAGATATAAACTGGATAGTTTATATTACATCTTATAAGATTATTTATGCGTATGTTAAACGTAATACTAATAAACATATCTGTTTATTAAAATAAATTAAAATTTTGCACAAAGCAAGGTGATATACAGTATTTACCTGACATAAATAATGTACTGTAAAGGAAAATTTTTTTAAAGGACAGAGAAATAAGTGCAAATTCTGTTTATATTAATTGTTAAACATTTTTTTATTTAGATCCTTAAAGTATTCGTTGTTATATTCACACTGAAACAAAAAATCAAATTATATACATTCATCATGTGTTTAGTATATATATATATATATATATATATATATATATATATATATATATATATATATGTATATATATATATATGTATATGTATATATATATATATATATATATATATATATATATATATATATATATATATATATATATATATATATATATATATATATATATATATATATATATATATATATATATATATATATATATATATATATATATATATATATATATATATATATATATATATATATATATGTGTGTGTATTTAAAATTTCGTTGGACATATGCTTCTCAAACTACAATATACAATGTGTTTAAACTCTAATTAAAATATATTGTGTAAATCTGATATTTTTTCGTTTTCTAACATGCTTATAACACTGATACAAATAAGGTGTAGGATAATTTATTTTTAAACAAATAACTTAATTAGGGTATAGACGACTTGTTTTTAAAAAAATATAACAAGTTGCTTTGCAATTTATCACATACTGCCTATAAGTTAATAAAACAAAATGATTAATACAAATCTAAATAGAACGTAATTTGTTAAACATAAATTTATTATATAGTATTATATTTTGCATTGTTATATACAATGACTATATTATAATCTATATGTGCTAAATAGGTTTTAGAATGGAACAACATCTATCAATGTAAACGCCTAAAAACGCGAAAAAATAAATACTTGCATGTTATATAGAAATGTATAGTTCTAAGATAAAGTATGTTGACAATCTTACCATAGGATAAATGGGCTTAGGATAATTGTCCCCATTTCTACGTAGTTTTGTTAAATATGTAAATGGATTCTGGTTCTAAAGAAAATAACATTTTCAATTTGTATGACATATTTGATATTTTTTAATAATTCGATATTTTTAAATTAATTAAGACTGTTTTGGAAATAATACCTCTCTCCTTAAAACTCTTATACTTACCTTATGTGCCAAAATGTGTTGATCACATTGTTGAATAGAAAAATATTTCGCGTATTTAGAAGCAGCCAAAATACTAGAAAGATATTGATCAATTTTTACAGGAACATTTTTCTGAAAAATGAGATAACATGGCATATACATATTTTCACCAAAATATAATTATGTTTGAGAAATTGAAGTTTTTGATCAACCTTAAATATTAAAACACTGTTTGATCTTGTTTTTTTTCTTTTAAAACATGTCATTTATATTATTTATAATTATTAAAATTTAAATTTAAAATACCATAAATGTCAAATCAACATCCCATTTGAAAAGATCCTCGTTGTTCTTGCAATTACCATCATAGACCACAATGGCACCTGGTCCATTCATTTTCGGGACACACTTAAAAAGTTTGTACACAGCACAACAGTAGTTGACTCCCCCTGTACAATTAACAACGTAATTATGACTTAGCCCATTGTAAACAAAATAATGACAGTCAAGTTATTTGCTAACCGTGTTATCATTTTAAGTTAAACAAGACGTAATTACAATGTAATAACAGAATATCAGTATGTGTGTACATGTTAGTACATTAAAATAATATAAGAAGAATTAACAAAATTAGGATACATTGATTTCATGTAGACGCATTTTTTTTGGGTACAAATCTCGATCCTAGTATTCACCACTATATTGTTCCCGCTTTAAATCGTGTAAATTCCTATAACAGATTTAGCCAAAATGTGATTTTCAAGACATATGTCTATATTTAAGTTGCAGTGAAAAACAGATGAATTTAAAAAAATATCGTAAACATCAAGTGAACATCATACCAAACTATGCATTTTCTGAATTTATTGAATGTTGATCCGAGAAACAAAAGAGTTCGGTTTAAAAACGACTAATTCAAAACACAAAGCTCATAAATAAGAGTTCTAATTTCAGTACGATTTCATAAAAGAAATAAACCTTTAGTTCCTGAAAATCCAAACAGGACTGATAGTTATGTTGTAACTTGAATCCCATTTTTAATTTTAAAGTAAATATAAGGTAGGTTTTTACTCACAATCGCTTTAAAAATTCCAAATCTAAAGTTCTACACCTACTTAGATCGTGCTTTAATTTCTCATTTTCAAATTGAAATGCATCAGCAGCGAATAGGAGGTAAGGCTCTGAGAACCCGTGTCTGCTTGTTGTTTCTTTGAGCTCTGACCACGCCATAGCATTGGTGATTCCATAGCCTGAAAACACATCGGTCAGTTAATTAATCGATGTAATGGGTTATTTTTTAAGTGATAAAGCAACCTTAATGTTATTTAAACTAAAAATAAAATGTTATCAAATCTATAAGTATTTTGTTAAATTACACCATGCATGAATACTAAAAAAAATTCACTTACAAGTGTACATTGGATTATCTTTTACTTCATCACATTGCTTGATATCGGAATATATGTCACTGTTGTAGAATTCTCCACCTTCCTTTGACAAAATGTTTTGAGTTAATCATTACAGCATACGTTTTAAGTATTTTTGAAGCAATGTAAAATAACCTCTTCAACTTTCTTATCCTAGTGTTTAACTTACCTTCAGTAAACTGGATATATTGCGTAACAGGTTTTCCTTATCAGGAATTAAACACAACAGCCCGTTTGCTCTAATTCAAAAGTAAAAGAAAAAGTTTATAGTGTGATTCAAAAGAATATATTAGCGTGCCCTGTGAAAGTCTGACGAAATATATAAGAAGGGTTTCATCAATGCATTACCAATCATATATTCCTATATTCTAATAAGTGTGATCTTTTTTCGAAAACTGAGTTGTTAAATGTAAACAATGTCTGCGCTTGAATCACATTTATCGGGGCAAGGGTTTACCTAACTCAAGTGTACGATAATCACTTATCGTAATAGTTAAGTAAAATACAAGTGACCGCCTAGGTGTCAGGGACGTAGAGGAGCGCTATCAAGAGCCTTAGGCTACACTACCGCAGGGGTGCCGCGTATGACCTCTGGCTGCTTAAAACTACCATGGCGCCACTGCGCTCATGGGAAAGACGGGGCGCTGCTTCTGCTAAATTGTATTTTCCCACAAAGAAATAATCTCGGTAGTATACTCATTTGTCCCTTAAAATTTTATGACAATCGGATGAACGCTATCCGACTTTTATATATAGAAAAAATAGAGAAAATCACGCATTCCAGGACGCCGCTATTGCGGAATTATTAAACCTCCCCAATAGTGTTCTAATCAACTCATGGTGATCGGATTAACGGCGTCAAACCACCATCGACTGTTATTCTTTTACACCGTAAAAAGAGAAGAATTGAATCGCGCCCCCTGCAAATTTGAACGCGTTTTTTTCAAAGACACATCTCGAGGAGTAGGCCTATTCTCTACAACTTCAGAAAGTTTCATGGTGATCGGATAAAATATAAAGTGATGGATAAAATACAAACAAACATAATTTGCTTCATATATATAGGGATGCAAATAAGAAAGATAAAAAGAAATAAAGACAGACAAAGAGAGAATGAGAAGTATTTTTAAAATGTTTGTTTTTTAAATTTACTTACTTTAATATTACATTGTCTAATTTGTGATTATTGGCAATATGTTTTACTTACACGATAACATCAAAGGGCTCAAGTTGAAAATCTAATAACTTCTCAACATAAGTGCATATACATTCACAGTTGGGTTTACTGTAGCCCCATTCTTTCATGTGGTAGGCTGTCTCTTCTTGGCAGAGTTTGATCTGTTTAACACATTATTTAAACAGTTGATCTTTAGGTCCGAACTGAACTTTAAGCCTCAACATCTACCTAAAACAACCTTAAACTCGAACTGAATCTGAACCGCAACCTCTACGTAAAACACAACTTTAAATAGGAAAGTCTAGTTCATCTATCTCTAAGACAACGATTTTTTGGAATTGTTGTGAAGCGATGGTGTTATTAATCCCTTAATATGTGTCTTAACAACGTTAAAAATATTATATATATTAAATTGGTAAATGTTTTAATGCAAGTATAACACAATAATGTAATGATTATCATTTTTGCTTTACAGTTAGAGCTTGCTGTTAAAAATTGTAAACAGTTAAGCATTAGTTAGCATTACAATTAGGGTTATGTATAAAGTAAAGTTAAAGCAGCCAGTTAGAATTCGTTGTAAAAAAAAACGAAATGAGAAAAAATTAACATTACGCTTTCTTCAGAAAAATCAACACCAACAACGTATCCAGCTGGACCAACGAGCTTGGACAAAACAAAAGACAGACTTCCACCTCCACAGCCAATGTCCAGCACACGGGCACCCTCGATGGCATCAGGGATGAAAAAAGATGAACCATCATAGCTGTAGGTAGGGAACAAAAATCGTAGCGTGGTTAACTCCGTCTTTACTATAAATAAACCTTTAATTTCAAACTTGCATTATGTTTGTTTATCTATTCTGTAAAGTAACTAAAAATTGTGTTATTTTTGTAGCTTAAAAATGAATTACAATAGTTTTTTTTTCATTTAACCGTTTACATACCTCTTTCTTGTACGTTCGCTGATCTTTAACAAGATGTTTCTGGCGTACGACGGTACAGCCTCAATATTTAACCTTGTATCCACGTCAAAGTCCTGATACAGCTTGAAGTACATCTCCTTTATAATTTTCTGAGACATATTTTCATCCATCTTAGTGTTGACACTGCTGAGTTGGTGGAAAGTATAAGAAATAAATTAAAGTTTCTGAGATGGTTTCATCCATCTTAGTGTTGACACTGCTGAGTTGGTGGAAAGTATAAGAAATAAATTAAAGTTTCTGAGAGGGTTTCATCCATTCCAGTAGAAACAATTGACTAGGTTGAAATGACAACGCAGAGAAAAGACAAAAAATATTTTTTCTTAAAATTGTTTTTACTCATATTAGTTTAAACTCATGAGCAGATGAAAAGCACAATCTATATTATTCTAAGTGCAACAAGGCTTGTTTGTTTTCTAATTTAGTGAATATTTTTGTATATTGTATTTACTGATTTTTTTTTCTAATGAAATATGCATTACATACCTAATTTTACAAGAACCCTTTATAAAATATGCTTTTAAATATTCATATTTATAATAAACGTAATACCTGTGTTGAAGACAGACTGACTATTGCACCGTATAATCTTTTATACATGAAGTGGGTGTATGGTATACAAAAATTTACTATGAGAATATCAAAAGATTGAAAAGAATGTGATGCGAATACTCTGAAATATTCACGCCATTAAAAAAAGCGCTCGACTTGTTCAGCTAAATAATGGGAATAAAACCCTGACTGAAAGCTTTTAATTTTATGATCAAAGAATAAATTAGACTATTTAAACAATACGTTTTTTTTCATCATCTATCAACACAACCACTGTGAGGATGCAAAGTCTTCTGTTACCATATTTCCTGAGCCGTGTTTGACATTGAAGTGGGTGAACCAGCTGTGGCAGCAATTTATTTCAAACAAATTATTCAAGTGGGACTTAAAGCGGTCAATGGAGTTCTTCACGTGTCTTACGTTATGTGGATATGGGTGTGACAACTGCACCTGCTACTAAATAACCCACCAAAACAGTGTGGGGGGGGGGGGGGTTTAGAGTTCTTAGACCCCATTTCAGTTGCCAATTACATGAATTGATATTGCATTACTATAATTTGACAGCACAGTAGTTGATTTGGTAAATAAAATAAATTATATATATATATATATATATATATATATATATATATATATATATATATATATATATATATATATATATACTCTCCATGGTACTATGCAGGACACCATCACCACAAAGCAAGCCGACCCGCCACCCTACCTCTCTCTCCAGGCATTCTAAACAGACCATATCGCTACAACCCCCCCCCCCCCCACCGCAGCAAATCTGGTTAGCTATGAATTAGTGTGTCCGTTACCCCGTTTGTTTCGACCTCCTATGCTTTTAATTTTTTAATGCTCAATTGATCTATACTCTTGTTTATATAGACCTAATTGACCATTACCCTTTTTTGTAGACCTTATTTAATATTTGCTCTGTTTGTGTAGTCTTTAATTGACCTTGATCCGTTTGTCTAGACTTTATTTGACATTTGCTCCGTTTGTGTAGACTTTATTTGACATTTGCTCTGTTTGTGTAGACTTTATTTGACATTTGCTCCGTTTGTGTAGACTTTATTTGACATTTGCTCCGTTTGTGTAGACTTTATTTGACATTTGCTTCGTTTGTGTAGAATGTATTTGACATTTGCTCAGTTTGTGTAGACTTTATTTGACATTTGCTTCGTTTGTGTAGACTTTATTTGACATTTGCTCCGTTTGTGTAGACTTTATTTGACATTTGCTCTGTTTGTGTAGACTTTATTTGACATTTGCTCCGTTTGTGTATACCTAAATTGATCTTTACCCCCGTTTGTGTAGACCTAAGTTAACCAATTCACCTTTAGACTTTTTAATGTGACTCCTAGTATCTGATTTTAAGTCTTATTAAATAAGAATAACAGTTTGAAATAAGGGTTTGAATTACAAGGTGCAAAAATACGTCCCTTGCAACCAAAACTAAGTCCTTTCTAAAACAGTGAAAACATCATTGAATGTGCCGACCCACAGAACTTGTTACCTCCCCTTAGTTTCATATCAGTTAAATACTAAATAATTTGCTGCTAATAGCCGTAGAGTTTCTTCCAGGCATCTCTTCGAGGGGCGAAGCCCCCCCCCCCCCCCCTCCGGGAAATTTTTTTACCGCCCCCCACTTCCCGGAAATTTTTTACCCCCCCCCCCTCCGAACGAAATGAAATTTATATATTTATATAGAAAATATATACTTTTAACAGTGTCCCCCCCCCCCCCGAAAAAAGTCTACCGCCCCCCCCCCCCCCCCCGAAAATTTCAAGTGCCCCCCCCCCCCCCCGGAGAAAAATGTCTGGAAGAAACACTGAAGTTCTACTCATTATAGATACAGATAGAACAGAAGTTAAGCATGCACTATGTAGGGAAAAAGATAATTCACAAGCGTGCAATGATAGTCCTCGAAATAATTGACTTTATGTACAAGTAAAGTATTAGCTTATAAGGCAAAAGGAAAACCATAATTGTAGAATTTTAAAGATTAGATATGATTTAAAGTAATTGCTGTTTTATTATTTATTACATTACTTTCATCTAATTTAATTTCATCACAATAACTAAATTAAATTATAATATACTAGAGTTATCTCTTATTTCTTAAATTAAATGATATTATAGCAATTACATTTTAATTTGTGCAGAGAACATTTTTGACGCTTTCAATTAGTTTTTTTTAAAAAACACTTGTGTAGTTGATCAGTTATATTTTTTCCTTCGTATCCAAGACACACGGAACACATGAAGTAGAGTTCAACTGTTTTATTAAACTCAAGCTATTGAAGCCTTATATTTGCTGGTCACTTTTTCCAGGTGCTTTTAATTCCCTAACTTGAGTAAAGTACGCATACTGCTTCGGGATCCACAACGACCACTTTAAGTCAAGTTTTGTATTTTTGCAATTATCAAAAGTAATCAACTTACCTTTTTCTTAGGTCTTGATTGCTGCAAACCTGATTATGATTAAAAAATATTTCTTGTTTTATTTTTAGGTAATATGATAAAACAATTGATGTGGTTTTACCTCAAAATGAGTTATCTGCCTTAGACTGAGTTAGTACTGACTGAGTAGGCCTACATTCATACCGATCACCGCTAAATACTAAAACGGAAAGGTGCTCGTCCACTTATACTTAATTAATCCACTTGAATATTGAACGACCATTGTATAATTTATTAATCCCAAAGGCAATCGCTCAAGTACTATCTTCACATCAATTCATTATTCATGTTTATTAATCATTTAGACTGGAGCCTAAATGTCAATGGACATCTGCATGTGAGCAAATGGAATGGAAGTCATATGACAAGTAGATTTAAAAAAAGATTATATATATATATATATATATATATATATATATAATGCCTACTTTGGGTCCCAAAAAAGATTGTTGCTTTGGTGAGGGATTTTATTGTCTAGTTCCATTACTGCCGTTGCAATTTTAATTGGTTCAAAAAAAAAATGTTTCCACTCTCTAAAAAACATAACATCAAACATATTACTTTATTTTGGTTCAAATTAGAGTCGTTTACTTAAAATCTAGGTGTGCTGAATCCTACGAGATTACTGTAAAGAAAAACTAATATACAGTAATTTATCAAGTGGTGTTGTCAATAGCTTGAGGTAAGGTGGATAAACACGTAACGAAAACACACAATTACTAACAAATCCACGTGTGTTTAAAATAATTAATAATAGAATGGAATTTCAAGTGATAAATAAATTAAAGAGCGTACACAGGCCGATTGTATATATATATTTAAATGTCTCATTGTGTGTCATTGAGCTTGTTATAAATTAATTAATGACAAGCATACTCCACGTCGGTTTCTGAAACAGCCACGGGCATAAATATCCTACACATAACAGCCGTCTCCATGAGAAGAATGGTCGTTGTTTCGTTTCCATTTTACGTGTCAAAATGTGTACATTATTCCGCGTCAGATGCGTTGTAATATTGTTTGTATTTCTACACTTTCTCTTAGTATTTACCTATGTTTACATTCAAAACTGTTAAGCTTCAATACAGCTCAGCTTACAAAACAACTATTATACTGCTGTCTTATTCTAACTATGCAATAAGCCACTTCTACACTATCAGGGACGGAGTTGTCTAGCGGTAGAGAGGTGGACTGCTAACCCGTAAGTCTGGAGTTCGAATCGGGTTCAAGTCAGTAGACCGTCCAAGAGTCCACCCAACTCTGATGGGTATCTAACTCACGTTAGGGAAAGTAAAGGCGGCTGGGCATAGTGCTGACCACATTATACCTTCATATATCGAGATCACAGAAACAAGTGAACTCTACTGCACCTGCCCCATAAACCGTCAGGTTTGGAAGAGAACTTAACTCCCAAAAATAAAACTGAGAATGAAGAAAACAAAAGCTTACTTGGTGAGTGATTGAGCTTCAAAAAACTGCAACCATGTGCTTCTAATGTTTTTCAAAAAGTAAACTGCTGCCAATGCACTTTGGTGATGCTGGAACTATGGGGTGTTCTCAAAAATCGAGGCTTATTTTTTAGCTGATCGCCGTAAAATGTAAAATAAGTCACGTGGGTGTGCAGGTGACTATGTAATCAACGAAACAGCTGTTCTCCTGAGGTAATTATGTAAAGTAAACTTAGCCTTTAGTCCAGGGACAACAGGACTGAAAATGATAATGAAGTTCCTTGTTTAGTCCCTAATCAAACAAAATTGTATTCAACTCGACAGTTTAAACATACGTTGACGTGACGTCAATGACGTCAGACACAAAATTACAGCTGGGGCCATTGAAAGACATTTACATAAAACATGTTTTTTGTTTTCCTACAAAACAGAAGTCTTATATTTTCTAAATCGTTGCAATCACTAAAAACGTATAGACTCATCTTCTATAAATCTTTCAAACTTTATCTCATCTATTTGTCCCTTTCTTTTATACAGAGTATATAGGAAGTAATGCAAAAAAATCACATGAAACGTTGACAGTTTTCAACGTATGTCTGTGTGTGTATGTGTGGATGTGTGTCTGTAAAGACGATAACTTGAGAACCGTTACAGGTAGGTTGATGAAGTTTCTTATATGAGTATTATTTGGAATTGATAGTTTTGTATCAACTTTTTGAGCGATTTCCGGTAAACAGAAATTGCGCTCATTCTATTTTCAAGTGTTTAACAGCCTATAACTTCAATACTGTTTCAGATAGATTACTGAAATTTCACACGAAAGTAAAAGACCCAATTCTCTGCTCTATATACAATTTACAAGTAATTTCCGTTGAAAAGAAGTAGTAATTTACGCTATTTCCGATTTCTAAAAAAACGCATGTTAATATATTAAGTGTACTAATAGTATTCCGCATTATTATACACATATTGTTTGGCGTTCACTTGGTGTGCAATTCTTTTTTATACGAGGTTCTATTCTATTTTAAAAAGTGTAAGTAATTAAAAATAGATTAAAAATCAACTCTAAATCCCGAGTTGCCATCATCCTCTGTAGTGTTATATAAGAATATTCGAGAAAATTTATGGGAGATCACTACCGGTTTCAATGTTCTGTTATTATAGGGTTTGATCTCCTTAAATTGAAGAGTTGCCCTTACACCATTTTTGAAAAAAGTGTACAAAAAAGGTGTTATGCTTTTACAAGAAAATACCATATCGCTTTGTTTATTACCCTCGGGGGGGGGGGGGGGGTTCTATAACCTCACTAGGCGGTACTAACAGCATGGTCAACACAGCTAGATATATTTAACCCGTCCATTGTTTTCTATGTAACAGCATGGTCAACACAGCTAGATATATTTAACCCGTCCATTGTTTTCTATGTAACAGCATGGTCAACACAGCTAGATATATTTAACCCGTCCATTGTTTTCTATGTAACAGCATGGTCAACACAGCTAGATATATTTAACCCGTCCATTGTTTTCTATGTAACAGCATGGTCAACACAGCTAGATATATTTAACCCGTCCATTGTTTTCTATGTAACAGCATGGTCAACACAGCTAGATATATTTAACCCGTCCATTGTTTTCTATGTAACAGCATGGTCAACACAGCTAGATATATTTAACCCGTCCATTGTTTTCTATGTAACAGCATGGTCAACACAGCTAGATATATTTAACCCGTCCATTGTTTTCTATGTAACAGCATGGTCAACACAGCTAGATATATTTAACCCGTCCATTGTTTTCTATGTAACAGCATGGTCAACACAGCTAGATATATTTAACCCGTCCATTGTTTTCTATGTAACAGCATGGTCAACACAGCTAGATATATTTAACTCGTCCATTGTTTTCTATGTAACAGCATGGTCAACACAGCTAGATATATTTAACCCGTCCATTGTTTTCTATGTAACAGCATGGTCAACACAGCTAGATATATTTAACCCGTCCATTGTTTTCTATGTAACAGCATGGTCAACACAGCTAGATATATTTAACCCGTCCATTGTTTTCTATGTAACAGCATGGTCAACACAGCTAGATATATTTAACCCGTCCATTGTTTTCTATGTAACAGCATGGTCAACACAGCTAGATATATTTAACCCGTCCATTGTTTTCTATGTAACAGCATGGTCAACACAGCTAGATATATTTAACCCGTCCATTGTTTTCTATGTAACAGCATGGTCAACACAGCTAGATATATTTAACCCGTCCATTGTTTTCTATGTAACAGCATGGTCAACACAGCTAGATATATTTAACCCGTCCATTGTTTTCTATGTAACAGCATGGTCAACACAGCTAGATATATTTAACCCGTCCATTGTTTTCTATGTAACAGCATGGTCAACACAGCTAGATATATTTAACCCGTCCATTGTTTTCTATGTAACAGCATGGTCAACACAGCTAGATATATTTAACCCGTCCATTGTTTTCTATGTAACAGCATGGTCAACACAGCTAGATATATTTAACCCGTCCATTGTTTTCTATGTAACAGCATGGTCAACACAGCTAGATATATTTAACTCGTCCATTGTTTTCTATGTAACAGCATGGTCAACACAGCTAGATATATTTAACCCGTCCATTGTTTTCTATGTAACAGCATGGTCAACACAGCTAGATATATTTAACCCGTCCATTGTTTTCTATGTAACAGCATGGTCAACACAGCTAGATATATTTAACCCGTCCATTGTTTTCTATGTAACAGCATGGTCAACACAGCTAGATATATTTAACCCGTCCATTGTTTTCTATGTAACAGATGTTATGTGAATAGCTATATCTACTTTATATTCTGAAAGCATTGTGTTCATATCATGAAGTAATAAAAAATGATCGAGGGTTACAGAATGTCATAACATTCTGACAGTGATTGCGTGATTTTTTTACTAAACAACAATGTACGTATTTTTCTTACTGTTATATCTGTCTTCTCAGCGCAAACACGTCAATACTTGAAGTAATGTTGTTATTAAGATTACTCTAATCCTTGGACTTTTGTTTTAAATAATCTTCAAATAAACTAAATAAAACAAAAACGCATAAAAAGTTAATTCTATTATCTTTTTTTTTGGTTGACAAATAAAATCTGAGAAAATTATGAGTTGCCAATGTCCAGTTATAAAAAAATAAATAATCGCTTGTAACATTTTCGCATAGACTTTAAATTTGAGTGTCCTTATTAAAAAAAAAACCACTGAACAATTTTTGTTTGGCTTCAGATTCGATGTAAAGAAAGCAATCCAAGAAAGAAGAATTATTTTTTCACAAATACTCTACTGCATTTAAATTCGTTTTTTTTATACATTTCAAAGACCGTTCAAATACGCTTCTAAATTTTCAACTTTTTTTGGCAGCTTAACATTCAAAATTTAAAACAATCGTTACAATCTGTAGCAACTAGTTGACTCGTGAGTGGCTCAAGAGAGAGTTGACAAGAAGATTTAGAGGTAAAAATGACTAGCTGGAAAATTAGGAGGCCTTTTCAGTGGATGTTTATTTAATGGTTAACAATAACAGTAGGCTTGAAAAGTCTAAGTAATCATTCTAAATTTTTAAAAAATCGTTTAAAAATATGCCAAACGATAAAAGAATACTTACATTTAAAAAAAAATTAAAGCAATTTAGGAACCATCGACAACATTCATTTTCAAAATTTTGTATTGAATATAATCTATTGAAACGTCGTTTAGAATCATTTTATCAATTGAAATATTATTAAAAAAACGCTCTTAACCCCTTCAGGGATAGTAAACCAATTTAAATCACAACTATTGTTTTCCATGATGAGATACACAATGGCGGTCAATGTGGTATAGCATAGTAGTGTGTTTATCTATATATATAATTCTCTTCTTTGAGACGTTAGAAAACACCTAGCTGTAAGGGCGCCTAGCAGTCCCCTCTCTTTCTCTCTAGTTATATCGCAACCACCTCACCCCCACATGGCCTGGTGAGCTGTGGTTCACGCTAAATGTTAACAATAGTAGAGCTGGGTTTAGTGACGCCTATTAGGGGCAGATAATTTAGTTTGAAACTATTTTAAACTTAGGGGAGGTAACTAAGAGGAGGCTGCTTTCACGGGGGGGGGGGAAGTTTTAGTGTTTTAAAACAAATATTTTCAGTGACAGCATTGGTACTGTCGAATTCACAAAATACGAATTACTGAAAAGTAGAAAATAAAACTAAATAGCGGCGTGTGATACGCCGCGGGTCGGCTCGTATTAAATAACATAACATTCCCTATCACCACAACACCTTTACTCTACTAATTCAAATTAAAAATAAAAGTGTTTGCTAAATTACTATTATATTTCTACTAATTATTTATTTGGAAATGTCTAGCCTTAATAAAACAGGAAGTAATTAAGTACTTAGAAGGGATTCACTCCTACAGAAGTAAGTAATACGCGTTATGCGCCATATAGGGCGTCGACCAGCCCAACCAAGAATAAACTACAAGGCAGCAGTTGTTTGATTTTAGAGTTGTTTCCCCTAGAAGAGTTACTGTCCTTATCTAACGAGCTTCGTCTGCCCTGTTAATAAGTTTTAAAACGAGATTTTACTGTAGGGAGAAAACATTTGCCGAATAATGACGTAACAATGTACGGAGTCGTTTAATAAACAACACTATAACAATAAACACTGGTGAACTTCGAGAAATTGTCTGTGGTTTATAAAACTGTGTTATGATGTCAACTCTTGTACATACTTGGAGCGTGCATACCATTAGACTTTCAATATATTACTCCTGTATTAATCTAGGTGATCATACGAACAAATGTTAGCCATGCTGGTCCTTACACATTACAATTTTTTTTTAAAAATCAGCTAGTATGTAGATATGAACAAAGACTATTACAACTGTAACAGACTATAATCTAGGGTATGATTATTATATTGTATTTTAACATGAAGTTGTATGAATGTAGAGTACCTGGCCAACGGAAGGACTGTGTGAGCGACTCGTCATGTTTTTCCATGCTTTTTTTCAGGAAATTAAATAGAATTAGAATATTCATATACATATTACTGAGGCGTGAACTTTGGGAAAGGTGTGATAATGTATTATGTTTAACATTCAAGAGGTTACGTAGTGTCCACATTTGCTTTGACCACATGTGGTTTGACTGCTGGTGGTTTGACCACAGGTGCTTTGACCACAGGTGCTTTGACCACAGTTGGTTGGAACTCAGCTGCTTTGACTACAGGTGGTTTTATCATAGGTGGTTTGACCATAGGTGCTTTGACCACAGGTGCTTTGAAAACTTGCTGTTTTACCGCTGCAGAACTGTGACAACAACTGATCTAACCATATGCATCTCATTACCTTTTTCCGTTTGTACCATAGATACATGGGGCAGATCAAGTAGAGTCCATCTGCTACAGATATGAAGGGCTAGTGTGGTCAGCACTATGCCCAACCACTTTTACTTTCACTAACCTGAGTTAAACGCCCATAAGAGCTGGGTGAACTCAGGGACAATATTCTGTTTTGAACCCAGGTCTTTCTAAGACGGTCAAAAGTCGCCGTTTTCCTATTAGAACTGACCAGTGTATTTTAGTTCTTACAACACGGCCGATCGGGAATGGTGAAGTGGGGTTCCTAACGGGATAAGACGGGTGGGAATTTCTGGTGTATTTGTTCAAACCTTATACCAATTCCTAACCTTAACACAAATTATATCTGTAAACATATCTTCATATCCTACAATATCTTTAAACAAAAACGTATCCCTATCCATTAGCTAAACCTCATCCCTATCCCAACGAGACCCCTCTTTCCCTAAACCTATCCTTAACTTGTCCTTAATCCTGGAGTAATTGGTAAGAGAAACGAGGGGAGGATGTGTGTGTGGGGGGGGGGGGGGGAGGGGCGAAGGGGGGGGGGGGGGTTAATGTTGGGGGAAATTGACGGATATTGGAGGTTATGTCCTTTTTAAAATAGGGGAAGTTGCTTTTTGTGCTGTTACCACCTACGATCACCTACGATCACCTACGATCACCTACGATCACCTACAATCACCTACGAACACCTACGATCACCTACGATCACATACGATCACCTACGATCACATACGATCACCTACGATCACCTACGATAACCTACGATCACCTACGCTCATCTACGATCACCTAAGATCACCTACGATCACCTACGAGCACCTACGATCACCTACGATCACATACAATCACCTACCATCACCTACGATCACCTACGATCACATACGATCACTTACGATCACCTACGATCACCTACGATCACCTACGATCACCTACGATCACCTACGATCACCTGCGATCACCTACGATCACCTACGGTCACCTACGATCATCTACGATCACCTACGATCACCTGCGATCATGGTACGAGCCTAGACTTGTGGTAACTCGCGCGTTCTACCTACCGCTAAACCACGTCGTCAATTTACCTGCATCATAAAAAAACTTCATTTTATAGATTGCTTTTCTGTAAACCAGCTGTGATTTCACAATCTGATTAGACACTGTATAGTGTTTCATTTTAAGTGAGTTTGATACTAGCAACGTACAGTGACAATCTAGCCTAACAATCGCCTATCAGAGAGATTCCTTAGCAGAACGTGACTAACGCTCATATCTGTGGTCAATGCAGATTTGTAGTCTAAATGATCCAGCAGTTTCCAAGCACGAAATATATATATATATATATATATATATATATATATATATATATATATATATATATATATATATATATATATATATACTAGCCGTCCCGACCAGGCCCTGCTCTGGCTTCTGTGAAAAACCTTTCTGTTAAAGACCATTACCTGTGTCTTTAGTAATCATTCTAAACCCGGCATTGCCCACCCGAACCACAACCAACCAAAACCAAAACAACAAAACGCAAACATAACGCTAACACAATTACAAAAACAAACGAAAACAAAAACCTAACAACAAACCCAACCACAAACACCAATACGAACACAAAAAAACAACGAAAAAGCAAAAGAAAACAAACCAAATCCAAACGCAAAACCAACCAAAAACACAAATACAAACCCAAAGAAAAAAACACAAACAAAAACGAAAAAAGAAAGAACAAAAACGAACCAAATCAAAACGCAACCACTAACGCAAACCTACCTAAACACAAAGAAAACACTAACGCGAACATAAACGCCCGGGGCGGGATCACCTGTTTTAGCTTAATGAACGACTATAGTACCCCAACTTATTCATATATATATATATATATATATATATATATATATATATATATATATATATATATATATATATATATATATATATATATATATTGGCCTATCTCTAGTGCACCTAAACTTAGCAATTATTTACACAACAAATAATTCTCGGACAAAGAGACTGACCTAAATGAAATGTAATTAAAATAATTTAATCTTCCACGAGGGTATACTGGTTGTTAAAAGGAATCGATGAAACAATTATTAGAGTTTTAATTAAATCTGCATCGGTACAAGCATATGCAGGTTTTGGAATTAGGGGAAGCGGCGAGTCGATAAGAGGCGCCATTATATATATATATATATATATATATATATATATATATATATATATATATATATATATATATATATATATATATATTATTTATTTATTTATTTATTTATTTATTTATTTATTTATTTATTTATTTATTTATTTATTTATTTATACAAGTTGAATAATATTTCTTTGAAAATTTGTTAATTAGATTACAAAAGTACTTTTAGAAAAACACACACAAAAAAAATACAATTTTATCACACAAAACAGCACAAAATACACCACAAAATATACAGACAGCGCAAACAAAAACAAAAGACAACGAGATAACGCAACAGAACATATTTTGTAATCAATTTTATTTAAAAAAAAAACATTTTATATAGGCCTACTGGAATATCACAATAATATTTTCGTCTTTCTGTCTTTCTATCTATCTGTCTGTATGTCCGGTACGCTCTGAAGAAACCACAAGGAAATCTAAAAGACGCTCAATGAAAGACCGTGACGTTACATGGAACAATTAGGACACTTCAAAACGAAACTAAATATGTTCAGTTCTAATGGCAGAAATTACTTCATTGATTCTAGAGTAACATAGAATTAAAAATCAGTTGCTGAAAACAAAAATAATAATGACGTCAACGTTACTTGATAATAAAGGCAATAACATCACCGCATAATTTATTTATCTAATCTGCATGCAGAGTTTCTTTCATGCACCTATAGGGCTGGTAAGTAGGTCAACAATCAGTTATATGGATCAAGCAGGTTTTATTGAGCCTTAAAACTGGTTGGTGACTTACATACAAGCCCTACAAGTTGTAGTGGGCTTTCTATTAGGGGATGGAGGTTGTGATGAGTATTGTATCAGGATAGGGAGGTTATGGTGTGTCTGGTATTAGGATATGGAGGTTATTGAAGTTATGGTATGAGGGTAGATAGGTTATAGTCGGTTTTTTATGTGCGAATAGAGGAGTGGCGGGCCTTGTGTGGTTTGGGTATGGTTTGATGTTGAATAATGGGAAATAGTTTTGAGTCCTCCTGCCGAGTTAGGAAGCTGAAACTGTAGTGGTAGGCAGAAAATGCTTCGATGGGCCTTGTAGTAAATAGTTTTAGGATGGCGTGGCCTATGTTACATTTTGATTACGAACATACACGATATTCTTTTAATTACTAGTGTTGAATGCTGAATAATTGTATTAATAATTTATATTTTAAATTACAACATAAACTAAATTAAAGTTTTCAATTAGGAGTTAGTGGGGGTATGATATACTTAGAAAAGCACTGCGTAATACCACTAGTCTTTCATTTTGTACAATTTTGGTTTAAAGCTTTATCATGCTGGCAGCTTAATTTGGCTGAGGAAAAATTCGTAGACGCCTACTCATCATTCTTCTTTATTGGCTAACGATATGACACGTGGGGTTTAAAAGAACAGCTTGCTTAGTCTTGTGGTCTTTTCTGTTTCACAATTTGTTTTACCTGGTGAGTATCTCATGTAGAAAAAAATGCACTTGTTTGATTGATTTTTGTATTGATCATGTTTTATCAGTATAGGTATCCTATGTAAAGTTGACAAATATATTATATTTTGGGTGTCTGAATGCCCGATGCTCTTATTCCTCTTCGATCTTAATTCTAGTGTTGAAATCGATTCCCACCGAAATAATTAAGTATTACGTGTCAATTTGTTTTGAGTCATCTAGGCCGCTGACTCCGATTTCAACCTACTTTTCTTTTTCGATTTGCTGCCATATGCCTAAGATTGATTGTTATACAATTTAAAGCTGATTTAATGCTAAAAATGGTTGTGATACTATAACAAGAACAGCTGAAAAGCGATAGTATTTTCTCTATTTATTTTGATTCATATAACGTTAGAATTTATATGGCATGAATATATTGAACTGATGCAATCTGCTCCTTATGGGCCACTCATGAATGTCGTGTCAAAACAATTTGCCGACTACATTTGTTTGATTCAAATAAAAGACATTATATTCAAGTGAAATATTAAAATAAGTACTCCTGTAAATTTGTCAGTGTCGGATTAACGCGAGGACAGACTGGGAAATAGCCCGGGGCCCACTTTTCGTTTGGGGCACCTAAACTGATCAATATAGGTGAACTTTGTCTTCAATCAGTATGTGAACAACACTAACACATTGTGTAAAAGGAGGAGGTGTATAAAATAAAGTTTTAAAAAGATTGAATAATTCAATCGGGAAAACATTACTTAGGAACCATATCGCATATTCGGATTATGCGAGTTCGAATAATGTACGTGTGTTTGCATTAATTTTGACAAAAGTTGCAATGACAATGGAGAGACATGTTTTGGCTTTTGACATATGATAGAATGCATAACTTTACTGTAATTTGGCCGATTCAAATTGTGTCAGTGAATTTTTAAGAGACTGAGTACGATGAGAAGGAATGTACTTTACTATGTTATTGTCTATTTTAAGAGAAAAATATTAACATGGTTTGTGTCTAATTCGTGAGGTTATGTTTGTTTTTAGATTTTAAACACAGAGATGACTCATCTACTACATCTCATTCTGCTATCATCAGCTGTAGGCGTACTCTTTGCACCCAGATGTTTGTACGACGATTTCACATTCTGGTTCAACCGAGATGATGGATTCGAACGATGTACTTTCAGCCAAGCCGCTCGAAAGGTATTTGGTGATCAAGTCAGCAATGTGACGGTTAATCTGTTAGACAAAGCCACATGCGCTGTTCCTCCTTATCCCTGGACTAAGACAAATTTTCTTGATGTTTACGTTGACTGGAGTCGGACTCTAAACTTCACTTCTGGATGGGCTCGATGCCCTACAGGTACATTTTTGACCGCGATATACGGAAAATCTGTTGGTGACTACAAAGATTACAACATTGACCACGTCAGGTGTTCAAGGCCATTGAGATATCCTAACGTCCAAGGGTCGTGCGATTCAGTAGACGTAGTCGGATGTTTGTATAATCACCAAGTCTGTCAATGTAAGAAAGGTTTTTACGCGAAAGGAATCTTTAAAGATGGAGGCAAAGGTCATACGTTTTGTTTGGCGTATATAGAGTGTTGTCAGATGCAAAAAGCGATGGTGGGCTTGAACTCAGTAGACAAGCTGAAATCGTGGATCATGGACCTAACTCTGTCTGATACTGCCAAATTAGCCGATCAGTTAGGTTTCGCTTACTGCAAAGGTTGCCTAGCACATTTTATCGGTGAAGGTTTCAAACGTAGAGGTGAAACTTGGCATGCTGATACCTCTGGAAAATGTGATGGGTACAAGAGCAAACAAAGACTTTCAATCACACTAAACGATTGGGGTTTTATGTTAAAGGACACCATTTTTAAGGAAACTATAAGACGCCCTGTGAAAAGAGAGTATATAAAATCAGGTATTTCTGACAGTCAAGGTGGTAAATATAAATCTGATGTGCAAAGCTATGTAGGTTTAAATTACCTACGGCGTGTAGAGCACACGCCGGGTAAAAAATGGGCAGATTTTGACAGGCTGGGAATCACTATTCGCTACACCCCTCCACCCATTAAAGGCATGAGTAATGCTTCTTACACTTTCAAATACACCAAAACAAAAACCTCTTATGACGAAACAGGCAACGAACACTTTAAGAATATTTCTGTAACGAAAGAGCAAAAATATAATGGAAGAAGTAAAATGATGTACACAGTCTACGCACGATACGAAAAACTCAAAACTTCATACACAGCCAAGGTTCTCCCAACATTTAGTGTTACGTTTAGCGGATTACTTCAACGTGACCTTCCGGACCCCCGGAATAAAACAGATCCCCGTCTTAAAGTTGAACCAAAAACAAAAAGCTGCACAATCGGAAACTCAACAACGCCATTCTACACCGCGCTGAGGCACATGAGAGAGCAGAAGTCCTATCCCTGTTTTTGGAACGAAATGAATGGCCATTGGTATGATGCTGGTAGTGTTCTTGACATTTTGGTTAACGAGGACACGTATGCTTTTGATCTGAAGGGGACGATCGAGGACTATATACCAGATGGGATTGACATTTACTGGGACAGGCCAAGTGACACAATAAAACCGTGACAATGAACTCAATAACACCAGGACAAAGACCACAATAAAACCATGACTTTGAAATTAACATTAGCACGACAATGACCAAACCATAACCGTGACAATGAACAACAATAATTGAATTAAAAAAACAACGTAGACCGCAAGGGTCTTTATTAAAAAGGACACAAACAACATTTGAACCTGAGAGGAAACTACAAAAACAAAACAAAATACAACATAAGAAAACTAGCACTAAAACCAAATGTTATAAAAGACACTTTAATTCTATTTGATTTATTAAAAAAAATTAAACATTGTAAAATGAATACGTTTTGCTTTCATTGTCAGTTATATATATATATATATATATATATATATATATATATATATATATATATATATATATATATATATATATATATATATCAGTAGCGTAGCGAGGGGGGAGCGGGGGGCATATGTCCCCGGGCGCCGAGCTTAGGGGGCGCCAAAATGGGTTGGAAAAATAAATTGAAAGGTTGAGGGGGGTGCAAATTGACAGTTTGAGGGCGGCGGTGCAAATCAAAATCTCGAGGGGGGTGCGAATCGAAAGTTTGAGGGGGGGGGTGCAAATGGAAATCTCGAGGGGGAGGGGTGCAAATCGAAAAGTTTGTCCCCGGGCGCCAGGAACTCAATATTAGCACGACAATTGTCACGATATAACCGTGACAATGAAAAATAATAATAATAAGGTTCTGAATGACAAATTAACACAAACAACATTTTAACCTGAGAAGAAACTATAAAATCAGAACAGAAAACAAGTTAAGAAAAACTAGCACTAACACCACATTTTAAAAACAACACTTTTATCTATTTGATGTCTTAAAAACAAATTAAACAACAAAACAATGAATACATATCGTTTTAATTTTAAGTTATATAAATAAATTTAAATAAACCGGGAGTGATCTCCCCTAAACTTTCTCGCATATTCTAATATAACACTACGTGGGATGTCAACTCGGAATATAGACATGATTTTTGTTTACTTAAACTTTTAAAAATAGAATAAAATCTAGTAGAAACAAAATTGCGCACCAAGCGAGCACCAAAACCAAATGTGCGTAATAGTGCGCAATATTATTAGTACTTTATAAATTTACATGCGTTTTTTGAGAAATCGGAAATAGCGTAAATTAGTACTTCCGGTCAACGGAAATTACTCAAATTTGACAGAAGGTAGAGAATTAGATCTTTTACTTACATGTGAAATTTCATTTATCTATCTGAATTAGTACTCAAGTTATAGGCTTTTGAAAAATTCAAAGTAGAAAAAGTACCCTTTCCGGTTATCGGAAATCGCTCAAAAGTTGATACTGATCTACGATTTTGATATAATAATTATATATGAAATTTCATCAACCTAGCTGTAACGGTACTCAAGTAATCGTGTTTACACACAGACAGACACACAGACACACACACACACACACACACAGACATACGGACAAGATTGCAAAATTATGTTTTTCCGTATCAGTGAGGTGTAAAACGTCGAGATTTGTAAAAATCTCGATTTTTTTTTTGCACGATTACAATACTTTCTCTATACTACGTATATACGAGAAAGTAAAAAAGATATATATATATATATATATATATATATATATATATATATATATATATATATATATATATATATATATATGCTTTGGATTTGCGTGTGCGTATATATCTGTGTGTGTGTGTGTGTGTGTGCTAAAATTGCAAATATTCTAAAGAATAGCATGTACAGTGAAATCTTCACACTCTTTAACTGTTTTACACCAGACCCAGGTCACGCAGATTCAACCTCCACGGTTTCACATTTCTCTATAAAATATTGTTGTTTGAGATAAAGACACATCAGGAGGGAATACTAATTTTCTTTTGTACGCCGAACGTGTTGATTGGAGATTACAGTTAAGCTCTAATTTATATAGTGATTCAATAGGCAATACTGCTACAGCTGTCACATGTGCAATGGATCGCTAACTTAATTTGACAGCAGTAATCAATTACTGCAAGAGTATCATATTAGATCAACCACTCGGTCTGATACAATATGTATCAGCTCTTACCAGCACACATGCACACCAGTATATACTCAATATATATATATATATATATATATATATATATATATATATATATATATATATATATATATATATATATGTTTATATATACACTTGTAGTCCCGATAAGGCCCTGCACTGGCCTTTGTGAAAAAACTATCTGTAAAGGACCATGACGTGTGTTTAGTAATCAGCTAATACCCGGCATTGCGCACCCTAACCACAACCAGACAAAACCAAAACACAAAAAACGCCAAAATAACACAAACGTTAATACAAATACAAACACAAACTAAAACACAAATGTAAATACAAACCCATCCACAAACGCAAAAAACAAATACAAAGAAAACACAAACGCAAACAAAAAACCAAACGAAAACAAATCAAATCCAAAAGCAAACACAAACACAATCCCAACCACAAACGCTAACCCAACCACAATACAAAGAAAACAAACACAAACGCAAACATAAACGCAAAGTGCTCACAGTCACCATGCTGGGGCACTGGCAGAACCGCCTGTTTTAGCTTAGTAAACCACTATAATACTCCAACTTATTCATAGTCTTAAGCACTCACTCAAAAAAAAAAAAACGTAGACGCCATAGCGAACATGGAAAGACCCGGGAAGCCAAATAGCCGGAGGATGCCCGGATTCGATTCACTTCCATAGTCTATCGCACTGTTTATTCAAGACAATAGTAACTTTTATTGTCCATAGTCTATCGCAGTAGCGTAGCGAGGGGGGGGGGGGCGGGGGTGGACATACGTCCCCGGGCGCCAAAATGGGTTGGAAAAATAAATTGAAAGGTTGATGGGGTGTTAATCGAAAGTTTGAGGGGGGGGGGGGGGTGCAAATCGAAAGCTTGAGGGGGGTGCAAATCGAAATCGTGAGGGGGGGTGCAAATCAAAAAGTTTGTCCCCGGGCGCCGGGAAGGGTCGCTAAGCCTCTGTTCTATCGCACTGTTTAAAACGAAATTATACACCATAGCGTTCACAGGATAGCAAAGTGCGCCAAATCGATACCTGTCGCCTTTGTCAATTTAGTGAATAATTATAACGAGCCGGCCCGCGGCATAACATACGCCGCTATTTAGTTGTTGTTTTTTCTACTTTTCAGTAATTCATAATTTGTGAATTCGACAGAACCAACGCTGACACTGAAAATATTTCTTTAAAACACTATAAGTAGCTCGTTAAGGACCATAACCCCCACCCCTTCCTCCCCACCCCTCCACGTTTAAAATCATTTCAAACTAAATTATCTGCCCCTAATAGCCGTCACTAAACCCAACTCCACGAACGTAAACAAAGCGTGAACCACAGCTCACTAAGATCATGTAGGGGTGGGGATGGTAGGGAGCGCGCTTGCAGCTTGTTTTCTAACGGCTCGCAGAAGAGAATTATATATATAGATAGCCAAGCTTATCCGCAAACGGAAAAAAAGTAAACATGGAGGACATTTAAGAGCAGGCTTCTTAACTTGTATTGATTTTTAAATATATATATTAAACAGTATGTTCAGTGTATAAAATAAATAAAAGGCGGTATTTTAAAAAGATCTACACAGCATTGCACTTGATAAACCTACGCTAATTGTGTAAGTATTTTATACCCAAGGGACGTAATGAGTGCTTAAGGACTAAAGGTTAATAATTTTCAGACACAATTAGAATTTTTGTGAAAGGTAATACATTTTTTTTTAAATTTTGTTTGATGGACATGCCGATACTTATCACTATAAGTTTGAAAAATAAAATTGTTTACAACACATTCAATATTAATGTTTTTGAATCATGAATTTAGACGATAAGTATTTAAACGTATAACACTAAGACGATAACAATAAATTGATATCTTATAGGGGTCATCGATAACTGACGTCACGCTTTTTTTCAACATTTTTTACCTCCTCCTCTCAGTCACTCGTCGTCACAAAAGGGAAGACCCCCCCCCCCCTAAAATGACGTCACACTCAGCCAACAATCCCCACCCCCCCTAGTCAAAATTGCAGTTGAATTTTTTTTTAAAACATCGATATTTTTCGAAAATCTTGTATGAACTCTGTAAAAAGAGAGTATTTTAATCAATTCATATTAAAATTTATTAAAACAGTTTTCTAAAACGCGAAAAACATCTAAATTCGTTTTCTAACATCGCTTTTTTATAATGCAAAAGTGTGAAGTCGTACTATCTGAACCCCACTCCCCCTCATCACACACTGTCACAAAATTACGGACCTCCCTCCCCCCTACGAATGTGACGTCATTTGTGGACGACTCCCATATTCCTTTGTTGTCAAGGATCCGCCCGCCACATATCGAATTGAACTTTCTATATTAGATTTATAGCAAATTAGACTGGACGCAAATAAACATTAACCAAACCAGACGGGTGAAAAAAAAATGCACCTATTTTGTCTGTAATTTAATAGAATTATAAAAGAGGTTACACTACTAAAATAGAATAAAAACAGTTCACTAAAGTTAAAAAAAATCCCTTTTCTAATACGTTGCCTTTAAGAAAAAAAACAAAATAACGAACTCACAGGAAGACGTGGAGAAACATATCATAACAGAATGTTGCTGAGGTTCGCAAAACTGGAAATTGCTTTCTAACGTGGCGTCATCATAAACTTAAAATTTTATGTGGTTCGTAAAACTGGAAAGTGCTTTCTAACGCGGCGTCATTTCTCCAATGAGCAGTACTGAACTGTTTAATTATTGGGATAACCACTCCTCCCCCCTTCCCAATCACTGCCTTATATCATAAACTTTAAATTTTATTTTGACAATAAAACAGTAGTTCTTTATCTGGGTAAGAATAAGAGGTTAGGAGGAGGTCAAAATACATAGAAGTTAATTGATTGACAATTGATTGTGTTAGTACGGTCAGTAGAACTATTAATAAGGTTCGGTGAGTTCA